TTCTGACCCCACAACCGCCTCCCAGAGGAAGAGCCAGCTGAGAGGCAAAGGTGGTTGTTGGAGGGCACAGGAGCTCTGTTCGATCCCGGGGTGCTGAGGTAATGCTGGAGGAGAGCGGTGGACGCAAACAAATGAATCGTAGCTGCAGGCTGGAGTAATATCAGGTGCATCTCTACACCCCGAGGGCTCAACTCCTACACGCTCAGGTCCCTCCCCTGGAACAGCCTCCTGCAGTTTCACTCAGGGCTCGGGCAGAGAACAGGTACTGCTCTCACAGCAGTGACAGCTCCAGCTCAGCCGCGCTCGCCACAGCCCTCGGACACCCCCGTGCCTGGTAAGTCCATTCCTTTAGAACATTTCTTGAAATGAAGGGTGTTTGTGTCCACATCTAAGGAGGAAATGCGAGGTGCTCGGTCCCCAGCTGTCCCAGCAGCCGGGGTTACTCCAGCAGGTGCACTCACGGCACCACTCTCAGCTTTCAGCAGAAACTTTCAACAGGAGATGGGAATGTTTTAGTCTTAGAGAAAATCTAACTCTTGCAAGTTTTTACAGTGATTCACTCTTGTTGGTGCAAAGGGTTTTTTAAGCACCTTTTTTTTTTTTTTTTCCTACAGGGAGTTAATGTATTATATTGAAGTATGAGAAAAAGCTGTATAGCTTAAAAATGCTGTGCTTGCTCTGCCAACTCTGCTTCACAGAGTCGTGTCGAGTACATCTGAAAAGCTCCTATGAAAATAAGGGGCAATAGCTTTGATTTATTAATTTTTCCAGCTTCTGGAAATTTAGCAGAAAATTGGATTGTTTTCCCTTTTCTAGTCAACTGAAGCGTATTAAGACATTGATTTATTAACTAAGTATGTGCAAAGATTTTTACTCCTCACCCACGCTGCCTGAGCAACTCAGTTAATCTCTGCTTCTGTGCTTCCTCTCGCTGGCACGGACACACACACGGAGCTCCTGTGGGTCTCTACCTTCCACACACACTCCCTTCCCAGCCCACTGCTCTCACCCACATTTCCTCCTAATTAACAAACAGTTGCGTTAAAATTTATCTTTGGGTTCGAAGGACCTGGAAGTTTAGCAGGGAGGGGTGGTTAATCGCTGGAAAATCTCAGCTAGAATAAAACTCACAAATCTAGTTCTTGCAACACCCTGGGTAGGTGACAATGGCATGTCCTTGGGTTATGCAATAATGCCACATCACAATATTTTAATTATAGCATGTCCTTCAAAATGTTCCACCCCAGTGAGTCCTCCTGGTCAGAGAGATCCACATCACCAGAAGGAGCCTGCAATAATAATGGGGTGGGCATGACCAGCTGTTACGTACTTTGCTGAAGCAGTGTCCTAAAAAGAAATGTAATTACTGTCCCTGCTTGTAATAAAAGACATTTTGAAATTTCCTCTTTGATCAACTGGGCATCTTAAACAATCTGGACTACTTAAAACCCTAAAAAAACAACATGCACAGATCTGTATGCACATATCTCTGAGTGTGTATGAATACACATGTGCCTATGTGTGTATACACTTCTCCCCACGGACATTTGTGTTGATATATTTACACACACACACAATGTCCAACTACATTCCTGCTTTCTGAACCTGCCAAGAGGTTAAAGGCAAGGAAGGAGCAACAACCTGCTTTTAAAAATAGAAGGAAGAGAACTTGGAGCCATCAGCCTCAGGTTGGAAAGGGCGACAGGTTCGAAAGCCACGGGGAGGTTACTATTGACAAAAACAAACAGCTCAGACAACCTCAAGCTTAGCCAATATTGAATAACCTGCTTTCAGTAAAAATACAAATAAATAATCTACTGACGTTTCAAAACTAGAAAATCATAATGATATATAATCATCTGCATTTCTACGGCCATGTCTACAGGAAATAAAGTCTCAATCTAAAAAGAAAAGTTACATAAAAATTATCATCCTGCTATTGAAGATTTTTTTCCCATTTTTAAGGATATCACAAGTTAAGCACTGAAACTTTAAGAAAAAGAACTATGTATTTTAATTTTTCTAATATTAAATTTTAACTCCAGCAGCACAATACACTGTACAGCTGGAAGCAACTTTATTTATATAGGGACAGTTTTAATTGGTTGGACCTATTTTAAACCATCAATGTCCTTTCTGGCTGTGTTTGTGGGATCAAATAGTTTTAATGGGTTTTAATTATGAAATATGTGCCTCTGCCAGATACTCCCATGTTTTACTTAGAGACTGAAGGAGAAATTATCCTTCTTGTCTGGCTTTAGAAATATTTTATTACTGGCATTTTTAAACCATGAGAAAAGAAGGGATTAAATACTAAAAGAGAGAAAGAGAACATTCACCTGGCTGGCACTGACCTAAGTTTAGGAAAGGGTAAACACCCTTTAAAATGAGCTGCTTGCTCTGCACCTCCCAAGTCAGAGCAGCAGGTTCTGGGAGCCATCAAAACAAATTAAATGGAAAGGAATAAGGAGCTGTTGGAATGCTCTCCTGCTGTCTCCACAGCAAAGGAGCTGCAAGGCTCAAAATTTCGAACATTAAAACTGCAACAACACATTTTATCTCGTTAAGAAACGATAGTTAATACTCTGTCCAACAGGAATAACTTGAATCAAAGTTAAATACCGAGTACAAAGTCAGAGGGGGGAGGACAGGACACACAGGAATTTTCATTATGAAGCAAAGGAAAGCTGGCAGAACGAGGAAATCTAATTAGCATCCCTTTATTACAAGTGCTGCACCTGAATGCAGATTCGGACGTTATCATAAATGGCTCAGCTAAGAAAGAGATGCAGTTTTGACAACAATATCTTTTTTTTCAAGAATAATTAGTACAAGCACTTCCAAGAAGATACAAAGAATAACAGGTCCAAACTGACTCAACCAAGTCCATTGCAAACTTTCCATGTTAGTTATACCTCATTAGTCAAAAATAAATGCAACAAGTCCACTTAAGGCAGAGAAAAAAAGCCCAGTTCCCTATCTGGACCTCTCCTCCTATGCCTCAATATTTCATTTATTTAATGTAAAAACATTTTTCTTAATCTTTCAAAGGAATTCTGAATTTTGTAATTTAAAATATTTTAAAATACTATATGACTTTTTTTTTTAATTTATTGAACTACCATTTCAACCAGGCTCCAGTGACAAGACTTTTAACATGCTGCTGCATTTTTGTTGTTGTTGTTATAGTATCAGTATCCAACTCAAACAACTAACAAAGCTTTGTTAAAACCTGAAAAACAAAAAGCTACTTCTCTAGACATTCCTTTTACTTTAATCTGAAGCACATTTAATAGTTTGTTAGTTTTAAGAAAAAGCTTGATTGTTTTTTCCACTCAAAGAGCAGCTTTGCATTTTTCAGGGTGCCTTCACAATTACTATTTTAACAAAATTAATATTTCTATGACATCAGAAACAACATTTAATACAATTTGCTAGAATTACTGTACCTGATGAAACAAGCAGCAATTCTGTAGCTTTGCCTTCAGTTTTCACCATGTGTTGCCTGTCATTTTCTATTAAATAATCTCTGATTTAAGAAATGCAAAACATCTCTGCTTTCACTAAAATCTCACAGCACGTAATTACCAGCAATTCTTTTCATAAACTCGGGATTTTAATACTCCTAATTCAAACTTCTGTGTAAAAAGCTTTCTTTAGGAGAAAAAAAAAAAAAAAAAAGGAGCTATCTCGTCACCCTTACAATTAATATTCCTGTAGTTTCGGGTAACACAATAGATACAGTAGGTGGTTTTGCAACAGTCATCATTTTGATAATGATGCTTGTAGTTCATGATGAAATCATCAGTTTTTAGATCTCTGCCATAACACATCCTATAAAATCATGAGAACTTGACTGCGAGAGTTTCTCACGCCTTCAGAATCAGTGAACATAATGGAACAAGCCGGCACAAGCCCTCCCGACTTATCTACCCAGCAAATCACTGGGCTGGATAAAGTATCCACAACCTCCGTTTTTCCAGAGAAAGGCAGATAGATCCTTCCCCCATAAATCAATTGCTGTCAGACACTTTTTTCCCCCCAAGTTAACACACTTGGGTGTCCGTGTTAACCCCGTGCAATCGGCGAGGAGCCACACGCAGCAGGAGGACGGGGGAAGTGTTTATCAGGCAGAGGATTCCATTAGTCAGACACTGCAGAGCTCATTTCTCTTAATTGAATTAGGAAGAGGAAGAAAATCGGTGTGGTTTTATCCTTCGAGAGATTGGCCACTTCTGAGGTATCCACTGAGATTGGGCTGTTGGGAAACGCCACCCCAGTGAAGAGGGGCTGGTCAGTCCCAGAAAGAGCCCAGTCAGCCGCCCAAGTGCGACCCGTCCACCCCACCCTGTGTCACCAGAGCAGGAAATTCCCTCCTCGCTCTCCCCGACCGGCCCGACAGGCTCACCCCACATCCAGCACTGCCGGGACCTGCCCCTTCCCATCCCACCCACCTCCACTCCTCTCTCCACAGCTCCGCCTGGATTTCTACTTTCATCTTCTCAATGAACGTTCCCTGGGTTTTCAAAGGGAACTCCCCCGAGCCGGCAGCAGGGGCAGGTGACAAGTGCTGCTGCTGCTGGAAATTAGGCCACTTGTGTGACTGTGTCTGGGTGCAGGAGGATGCCAAAGGTCAATGGCTGTCCAACTCAGGTCTGGCATCCAGCACTTCTGTTTGTTTTAAAAAAAAACCCATCACAACTTATGCAGTACAAGGGGGAATGCAGTTAAGAGAATGCACTACTTTATATTTTGTTGCAGTGTTCCACCACAGCTAATTTCAAACTCTGTGTTACAGTTCCTGCACTACCAGTGGCAAAAGCGCTGTTTTCCAGCACCCTCATCCCTGAGACACCACAGGAGCTTCTCCTCACCTGGGAAGAAGGATTCCAGAAACCTGAAAAACCGGAAACATCACGAGGCTACGACTGAGGAAGGCGAACCACAAGAAAAGTTTTTATAAAGAACCATTACATTTAATTGTTTAAAGCAGAAAAAAAATGAGCCTCCTCAAAGAACGCAAACCCAAGAAGCCTCATTACATCCCAAGACCACCGGGAAAGCCGTTCAAGTACAAGTGTTTCCAGTGCCCCTTCACTTGCAATGAGAAATCCCATCTCTTCAACCACATGAAGTACGGCCTCTGCAAAAACTCCATCACTTTGGTGTCGGAGCAGGATCGAGTCATCAAGTGTCCAAAGAGCAGTTCCCTGGAGCCCAAACAGATCAATCAGCTCGAACCTCCCGTCAAACCAACCTCCTCCAAATCTGTCACAAACGGACTGTCGAGCCTCGATTCAAAGCCTCAGTATCCTTTTGCAAAAGAAGATGCCAAGGAGAACGTTGAGTTACAAAACCAGGCAACAAACGCAGCGATTCAAGGACAGAAACCTGCGATCCCGAAGGAAATAAGCCCTGCCAGCTCCGCAGCAGAAAGTGCCCTCAGCGTGCAGCCCCTGATGGAGGGCATGGTGAGGCCCTCGGCCTTCGTTCCCGTTGGAGAACACCGGGACAGCAAAGGCCCAGAGATCAGTGAAGCGTCTGAAATCCTGTCCCTCTCTAACAAAAGCTCCCCCTTCCACACCAAGTCTGCGTTTCATGCACCAGCTCACCCGTGGAAGGCGGGTTCTCCTTTCCTCCCAGAGTTTCCACACAAAGTCGCTCCCACAAAAGGCTTTGGTTCCATTTCACCTTACATGCAGCCGATGATTCCCGAGTACTCCCCCCACTTCTATGAGCACAGGCTGGCCATCTACACACCCTACCTGCTCCCAGGTAACTCGGAGTGTGAAAGCTCTGCCCTCTCTGTCTATGGAGCACAAGATCAAAGACACTTTCTTCCCCACCCTGGGCCACTTGCAAAACCCATAAATCCATCAGCATACGAACACTATCGACTGTTCCAACAATATCACTCCACTCCACCGATACCATATGGATTTTGTAGGCCAACAGATCCCCCATTTTACAGATTTTCACACGTAGCTGGTATAAACAGGGATCAAAACTCTCATCTGATGGAAGAAACTACCTTGCTGTACCCAGCTTCTTTAAGCCCTTCCCAACAATACCCTCTAAGCTCACATAAAAAACAAGCAGATTATGAAAAAGAAATGACATTGTTGCACAGCAAAGGTAACCCCAAGGATGACCAAAATGAAAGAGAGAATGCCAAAATGAGCCCTCTCGCGGGCAGCGCAGCAACGGGCTCCCCTGGCAGACCCAGCCCCACCAACTTCACCCAGACAAGCCACGCGTGTGAGGGCTTATTTGACCTCTCCAACAAGTCATCTTCCACATCCCTGGGCAAGTATGACCAACCAGAAGAAAACTTCACAGCCTTCAGACCCGTGAGAAAAAGCACTGACCAAGCGACTGCACTTCCAGGTGTGCAGACACAGCAGGAGAGAGGGGACTCACCCACCAGGTAAAGTAACAAAATCACTTTGCAAGTGCTTGTCAGGTTTACCAGGGGCACACAAAGATAGATGGGCACATGTCATGCAATGCCCCTTTAAACTAAATTAAATTAAAAAGGGAGATAACATGTTCTACACTAACTGTGCACAGCACGGTGTAGCCCACAGCAGCCCACTCGTTCTCTTTAAGGGTACCAGGCATTTCCAATGCAGTAACTATGTGTGTGTGTTTCTGTGCTTCAGGGAATTACCTGTATTACAGTGATAGGTCTGGAGAAAGGGACTCGGGGAGTTGAAGGAGAAACAACAAAATTGTCAGACTTCTAGCCTAGAAGTCCAGATTTTTATCTCCTCCTGCCCCTCAGCCCCAGTTTAAAAGAGCAACTGATAGTGAATTCTCTTTTCTCCTCCTTTCTTTCAGCATTAACGTCACCGATGAAGACTCACACACACAGCCTGATGGCCAGAACAACGCGGGCTCGCTGTCCAACGCGGAGGAAGACACGGGGATAGCTCCTCTCAATCTCTCCAAAAAGGCCGACACAAGCACAGGACCTATCCACGAGCACGTGTACAAAACCCCACCCAAACCAGACAGGCAGAGCTTTCTGGACCTGCAGGACGTGCCCCTGAACCTCTCGGTGAAGGATTCCTGTAACACAGCGAGCCTGAAAACGTCCTTCCACAGCCCGTCTCAGGACAACGGCACCGCCGCCCCCAGCACCGAGAGCGAGAGCTCCGGGGTGGAGGGAGGCAACCCCAAGAACCCCACCAGCAGCGCCTGTGACAAATCCTTCCCGGGACAGCGCGGCGAGGCTCAGGATCTGCGGCTCATGGAGAGCTGTGACGAGCAGAAGCAGACGGCGGCCGTGGCCCTGTGCCAGCTGGCCTCGTACAGCCCCGGCACGGCCCGGCTGGACAGCGACGGGCAGAGCCCCCAGGACAGCAAAGCTCCGGCCACGGAAGCCTCCCGTAATTCCTCTGATGCTCAGGATACTCAGTGCAACCAGAAAGTGAAAGGGCAAAAAAGGACAAATCAAAAGGAATCCGCAAAGGCCCAGCAAGGCGCTAAGAGAGTCAGGCCCAATGACTGCAGCAGAGTCTTCACCCTGAGGAAGAGGACAAGAGTGTCCTAATCCTCCCCTTTCTGGTCACAGGAGCTGGTTACCAGCAACATCACGAAATCCCTACAACCTGTCTCTCATTGGACTTGGCCCTTGACAAGATGCATTCCATCTCTCCATTGTAAATAATGTTTATAATTTTATATTAATATTTTTAAGTAACTGAACTTTGCCTTGTATAAGCTCAGGTTTTGATGAGTGAATTTTTGCATTCATTACTAAAGTCAAAGTACATTAGATGAATCTTCAAGGGGTTTTTGCAATTGTATTGATGTAAAATAACTTTTACAACTTCTTTTCTTAAAAGATGTTTAAGCTCTAGAAATAATATTGCTCAACAACACGCTGTCATAGTCTTTTTTCAGGCTTAACTTCATCTAGTAGAGGGGGTTTTTGTCTTTTTTCTTTGAAAACCTTTTCATGTCACTGTGCAGTAGTTTAAATAAGCTTAAGATTAAACCTGGCTATTCAGAATTTACTGTAAAAACTGCTCTGTGTATGAATGCACTTTGCCATTCTGCCATAAGACAGAACAGATCGAATTTAGTTACTCAGAGACAGATGCCAGTTTAACCAAACTGACCCAAAGCCTGTGTAAGTGAGCTCTCCTCACACTGACTAAGACCAAGATTCAAGTCAAACCAAAGAAAGCCTGCATGGGTTTAACAAATGCAGTTCATGTTCAACTTTAAATGAATCACTATGAAAACAACACTGAAAATATGAAGAACTAAACAGTTTAGGTGCCTGCTTTGCTGAGGTTAGACAGACACTGGGCAGCCTTCAAACTCCAGGCCTAAAAGGTTATTTATATAATTTATTTCACCTGAGGCAAACTCTCCTGGTGAAGGTCCTGTTTCAGTATGTGTGTATCACTCACTGTCATTTTCTGTGTGCTTCTACAGACAGCCCAAACTAATTCCTGCTTCTACGACTGTGTATATAAACTGGCAGTTTTTCAAATAAATCTTGTGATCTGTATTTAAAATATATGGAAAGTCATTCATGAACACAAACGCATGCACTACACTACAACATGTATGTTGAAGAAAAAGCAGCAAGAAATTGTTAACTAAATTTTCAATGGACAAGCAGAATTTTGGCATGAACACCCATCGACCCTAAAGGGGCTTCTTTCAGATGCAAATTCATTATGCACATAATTCATCTGTACAAGCTCAAAATTCCTTCTATCTTAAAACTGCTGTCCAGCTTATCCAAACTGCTACAGAAGTTTTAAACTAAAATAAGGCTGCTCCCCTGTGTAAATCTGCACAGTGGCACTATCAGTGTAAGGATAAACCCAGAGCGAGCGTTATTCACATAAAACCATGGGTATACATTTCTCACTGATCATTATTCAGGTAAGATAAATCCTCCCCTGCCTGAGCATCACTAGCAGGTGTGAACCTACATAAGGAAGTGGAGCTGCATTCAACACAAGGCAGAATTCCCAGATTTTTTTCCCCTCAAGTTTCGTGCTGTGGTGCTTTGAGCTGACAGCTCAGCCAGAGCATTGTAACCAGTTCAGCATTAAACAGTAAATTACAGGGGTTCAGCTTCTGAGCTAAGAAACAAACTGAGAATACATTGATCTGTAATTTCATCTTTCACGGAGAAAAGCTTTTCCCAGATTATCAGAAGGCAAGAATAGCAACCTGAGTGTGAACAGAGGGAATGAGGTAACAGGAAAAGCTCAATTAACTCAAATGACAACAGCAAGCAGTAAGTCAGGGTGATGTACCAAGCTCTAAATCAGTATGTGATTAAATAAGGAGAAAGGGCTGCTTTCCAGTCCAAGTTTAAAGCTTCAAGCTTAGGACAAACACTACCAAATCCCTAATTTCCAAACATGAAGTTACAGAGTCTAGTGTCACCACTGCTGCTTTTCACACTACATTAAGCTATTTGCCTCACTATTCTCTGGAAGTAGAAAATTTCATAGTTACCTTTATCCATAACTTTAAAAAAAATCTCATGTATCTCTTTTTTTGTTAATTTAAATTTAAGTGAACAAGGGAAACCTTCTTGGTGGTTTTTCCATACACTTCAAGGATTTGTTCTCCCCCAGCTCTATACAAATATCATCCATAAAAACAAGCTCCAGTGATGAACTCTACCTCATCTCCCCTCCTCAAATGAAATAAAAACCTCTGACATGAGGTTATCCAGGTTCCCTGACAGAGGTGTAACAGTTTTGCTTTTGTCAGAGGCTTACCTTTGGAGGATTTTCCATTCGTGATTCCCCAGCTTTAAGCTGGGAGGTTTTTAACTGTTTCACCTTTATCACATAAGGGCAAAAGTAATTAAAAAGAGAAACCAGCTGAAGGCTCACTGCACAAACCTTCTCACGTGCAGCACGTGCCACACTGGACACGAATTCTTTCTATGGAGACACAGTAATAAACTGTATTAAATGCCATATTTTACAGATCTTCAGAATAGGAAAGATTTGGCAACCCAACTTACTACTACGAAACACCAGTTTTGAAACATTTTTGAAATTTAGTGTTCAACTTCTCCGTTCAACACAGGAGCACCAGAGGGGATCCAAAGAACCATCTGGAACAAGACACTGTGTAAAAGCACCCAAGAGTGGATGTGTACTGCTACACTGTGCTTTTGTCATTCCCACTCTGTAAAACATTGACCAAAATCACGCAGAACTCCTCTTTTTCACATTAGTATCTCTGTACTTCAATGTACGTTGAAAACTACAGAACACACAAAGAAACAATTCCTCTGCCCTGTTCTTTTTCTTTCCATCCTGCTATTTCAAAAACCCATTAAAAACATAAACAGTTAATGTATAAATTACATGAAACTGGCCTTTGAAATTTAACCAGAAACAAACAGCACAAGCTACTGGCTTTAAAGTGCAAGTTAGTCATCAATTATTTAATATATTCTATTTAAATAATGACACTGACACAATGTAGAGACATTCAGAATTATTTTATACAACTTGCACAAAGAAAAATGGGAGGGAGGAAGAAAGAAAAAAAACCCCAAGAAGTTATTCCATTTTGGAAAGAAATATTTATTAAATATAAAAAAGGCACACCCAAGCCAATGCTTTGACAGGAGTACTTAAATATCCCCATGGGCGTATGTTTTACTCCAGAATTCAATACTTCGCTCATCGTTCAGCACACTCACATCAGCAAATTCCAGCCTATTGCCACACATTTGGTCTCTAATAATATAAATTGTTATTTCATGAACTTAACATGAACTCCAACTCACCATCTGAAATTCGGGAAGGGAGCAGCAATCCTCTCCTGCCCAGCTCGGCCAGGGCCAGGCACCCCCCGTGCCACGCGTTGTCCGTCTCCTGGAAACTGGTGTCAGAACAAAATTTGGTTAAAACTGACCCTCCCTTTCAGAATTTCACTTCTCAGGAGGAATCCCTAACACTTTAAAAGACCCCTCTTATCCAAACCAGCATGTGCTTATTGTGTTATTGACCCTGCTGGACTTGTAAAATAGAAGAATGACAAGCTGAACGTGTTTTTCTTCTCATTTGTGCAACATAAATACTACTATAAATGTGACCAAATAAGCAAAAAATCCATTTATGGCTATAAATGTAACTCAGCACAAAAGAGTACAATACCTGAAACTCATCCAGAAAAGGAAAACAACTTCCTAGTACACTGTAAAAGATGTAGATTTACAGAACATACCCAAAATAACCAATGAATTTAGTGCCAAACATAGTCCTTAACTTGCAAAAGAGGTTTGAGTGACAGTTCCCAACAAACACATCACAGGAGTTTCTGCATTGAGCAGACAGTGGTGTTTATCTACCTTTAAAAAGCATAAACCAGAGAAACTTGTAGTGAACACAATAAAAAATACCCAAAATGGCAAACAATTTGTGGTGGGCTGGCAGATAACGAGTGGGAAGGGGAAAGGTTGAATGCTACAGGGTTAAACATATACAAAGTTCATTTTGTATTAAACTAGGGTTAGCAATCTGAGAATAAAACATTGACCAGACAGACTAGGTCATATCAAAGCTTCATCTCTCCCAGAATCCCCTCTCTGACAAGGACCAAGAGCAGATGCTCAGCCAAAGATGCAGCACGAAGGACCATTCCCTTATTGCCTCCCCCTGGCTCTGGCAATCACCAGCAGACACTGCTCCAGCCAGAGGCTGCAGCCAGATGCCATATTTAATAAACTCTGAAGGGACTCTCTTCCATTAATTTGTATAATCCCTTTTTTTCAACTCCCTTTACACTTTTGGCTCCCATAACATCCCGTGGCAATGACTTCCACAGGTTAATTATAATTGCGTGAAAATGCACTTCCTGATGCCTCCCTGCTCTCACATCATGGGAGAGAGTGAAGTGTAAACAACCACTTGCTTTCCCCTTCCTTCACATTGATAATGGAGATACATAAAACCACATCCCTCTGCTTTTTCTTTCTGCCTGTAAGCAGCTCCATCAATTAAACCACTTTTGACTGTTCAGTTTTGTTATCTCTTCCTTTCCTAATATCCAACATTCCATTTGCCTTCTTTTCCCTGTCAGCTGCTGAGCACTTCAACACTTGGACAGGTCAGTGGCTTCCAGCTGTTTTACAGTGAGCAGCATTTGCCTCAAGAGCACCAGTTTGCATTCATTAGACATTACATTTTATATGTCATTTACTGGCTCGTTACTTAACTTGGGCTTCTATAACATTTTCCTGTCCACTTTAGCTCTCCCTACATTGAATCAACTTTAAATCAGCAGCTGATTTCCTCACCTCCTTGTTCCTCTTTTTTCCAGGATTCTTTATGGGTACACTGAACAGCACAGGGCTCACACAGACCCTGGCAGGACTGCAATGATCAACTCCTACACTGTGAAAAATGACCCCTTATTTCTTCACTGACTCTTGTCTACATATAACCTACCTACACATAAGAAATCCTTTATTCTTATCCCAAGAGATACAGCCAAGTGCCTCTGACAAGCAACTGATTTATTCTTATTTTGGACACATTTAGCCAGAGAACCCAGCAGAGATTCCCTCTGTCCTTGCCTACGTTTGTTCCCAGGTGTTTCTGAAGAAAGCAGGTCACTCAATTACTAGTTGAGTTACTCATCCCTATGACTTGAAAAACAAGGAAAGAAAACACTCTGGGTGCAGGTCTTTGAAGCTCCAGGGATAATTGAGATCAGCAGCACCTCTTAAATTAATCACAGCTCCACAGTGGAAGGATCATCTAAGTGGATACTTTCCTTGCAAGTTTTTAAGACTTTATACCTTCTTTCTTTTTAACGTGTCATCCTTTGAGCTGGTATTTTTAATTTGTACTCTCAACAAATGTGTGAGGACTTCTTAAAACTGAGTACATCTGAGTGACAAACTGAACATGACCAGTATTTCCTGTCAATAAAGAAATTCTTTTTGGTACTGGCTTACTCTAAACCACTAGTTTAGATTTTCAGGTACTCAGTGGAGACCCGATGAGCAATTTGATATTTAAAAAAGGCACATGAGACTTGTTTAATAACTTAGTCCTTTACATGCCCTGACATCCAACACTGAAATGCTCCAAAAGAACATCCTCATAGTTCTTTGTGACCCAGCTGGAGATTAAACTGGCCCCAAAGCCCCTCTGACACAGCCACAGCACAAGCCTTAGCAAGAGGGTAAGAACCAGCATATTGCAACACTCTCAAAAACACTTCCAAACTCTGGGCAAGTTCACAGACAAAAAGCACACTTTTTATTCAGGCAAGTACTTTCAGTATCCACAAGGTCCCGTGGCAAGAAGTTTTCACACTTGAACTCTGTGCTGCATCACTAACCACACCTTGTCTTTATTCCAAACCTGCCACCTGATGCTTGAGTTTGCTTCTAGTAATATAAAATGTAGAGGGCAACCATTTCCACACCATTCCCCAGTTCATAAACCTCTGTTATACCCCATTTATTCCTCATTCTCCCTGTGTGTTTCAGCCTCCCCTCACACAGAGATGGCTGGTTACCTCTGGTGATCCTCACAACCCTTCTGAACATCATTTCCAGTGTCACTGCATTTCTGAAGATGGACACTACACTCAAGACATGAGCCTTGAGCACACCAGGAACTTCTAAAGCAGCAAGTTAATGAGCATTTTTTTATTCTTCCTAAGTTCAACTTCAGTCCTTCTACCTTATCTTCGAATGGGGTCAAGAGGAAGGATTAGGAATAATTTCTTTATTGAATACCCTTAGCCCATCTTTAGACCTGTCTCCCTAACTCTTGTACCCCACATTTCAGGTGCATGTAAAGTCTGCAATAAGATTTTTACCTGAAACAGTCCAACAGAGACCCGATCACATCATCTGCTAATTCTTTTGGAAGTCTTCCAGTTATTCTACCAATTCTACAGAAGTTAAAAGAAAAAGAAGTATACAGTGACTCATTAGAACTGCAGTCAGCTAGTAAGTCATAAAAAAATTAGTATTTCTATATTGTTTACTTTAGTTGATCAGAGTAACCACAACAGACCTACCCTTTGGCTGCAGACCACCTGACGATGGTGTCTTTGTCCTTCAGCCCAACCAACAGTTGCTCTGTAAATAGTTTTATTTAAAAAAAAAACCAAATTAGTCTTATTAAACACCAGAAAGATTTCTTAAAATGTTCAAAATTCATCTTCCTCTTAAAAAAGCTGCCTCTTTAATAAAAATCTTTATACCTAGATTTCTTCCGTTAGTCACCCATGTACAACTCAAAAATCAAAGAAACATGTCCAAATTGTTTTCAAAAAGAGAAAATCAGATTTGAAATTTTAAGTCGTGTAAAAGATTCAAAATGGAGGTCATGGAGCTTTTTGCAGAGGTTCATTAGATTATTCAGTCATAAAAGTCTTCTGATGCAATTCTGGCCTATTTATTTACAGAATATTCACCAGCCAGCAAGCAGAGGACCTGCTGTACAGCTGCACACTATTAAAAATGCTGTTCCTTTCATACTAACACGGTCTAAAAATTAAACCATAACTCTTCAGCTTTCATGTGACATAATTTTTTGGTGTGTATTTCATTACAAATTTTAATTCAGCCTTCCATTTGTGAAAGGTTCAAGGTACCTCTTTCACATTACTGGATAAAACTGGTAAAACACAGTTCAGTATCTCCATGCCCCAACCCCACCAGAAGTGCTCCAGTGCTGACTTTCTGCTTCAGATGCAAAATCCAAATAATCTGACAAAACATAAACTATTTTATTATTAAAATAATCAGTTGCACAGACTGAAATTTTAGAGTCTTTCCAATTGTTCACGTTTAGCACAGACACCCACGTGACTTTCTTAGCCCTAAGTGGGTTGTTTTCCAACACACGATTAATTTGCGGCACTACAACAATTTCTCTCCAGTTTTAACACACCTACAACGTTTTCAATCTCTGCTGGGATGTCATATTCCTCATCATCATCAGCTTCAGCAGCAGCTTCTCTCTTTTGGTTCTGCACAACAGCACCCTGAGCTTGCAGGTTGGCAGCCAGAGAGCGACAGCCACGCTGGTACCTGCACAACAAACACATTGCATTGATTTTTCTGATTTATTTTCCAACTGAAATAGGGACATGCTGACACAAAGCCTGTCTGTCACATTCCTACACCTCCCAGGCTACAGCTCTCCACTTATTTAGTGGTTGCTTTAAAGGAAAGGGAGAAGTATCCCACTCTCCTTCCTCCTGACCCAGTTGTCTATTTTCCAAGGTGAGAAGAGCCAGACTATTCAAATGGTTCCTTTTCATTATCCCTCCCTTTCCTGTTTCAGTATAACCTATTTTCCACTGCTGACAATAAAGAGAGGCGAAATTCCCATGCCCTGAAAGACTCTCTGAAACCTAAAAAAAAATAAATAAATTAATTAATAAAATCAGCTTATTAAAAATTGTTTTTTAAATGTTAAAGCCAGCTTAGTACTTTCTGACCGAGCTGTACTCAGATATTTAGCCCCTGGTGTAGATGCATTCTTACAAAAGATAGACTTTACATGCTAAAATGACTTTTGCCATCGGGCAAGGTACATTCTCCACCTAAAAAGAATTTTCTATGCCTAAGGATGTTCTCAAAAGCTGGTAAAATAAATACAATAAAAATAGTCACCAAGGAAGCCTGCAATTTTAAAATATCAGTGCGAGAAATCTCAAAAAGAGTTTGCCCTCTGGCAGTACATAAAACCAGACACCAAAACCTGACTAATATGCAAAACCAGAGTGGGATTGCAAACCACTTTTCCCCTGTGAACTTTCTATCGAATCGGGGTAGTACCAGGTAATGGAAAAAGTTATGTTCACTCTTACAAAATTGTACTAAATCAGGAACAAAGGTCGGTCTCTTCCCATATTTCATGAGTTCTGCATTATATGGGAACAGGCTTCTGCCTGTGCAACGTGCAAAGCCAGATTTGGCTAATCCCAGTCCCAGTTCATGTTCCAAAACTGAAAAAAATTACAGGAAACTACAGCAGAAGAAATCTACTTTTTCTAAATAGTACAGATGAACAATATGTTCGTTCCCAAATAACACAGGGATTTCTTTTTCTTTTAGGGAAGCTTAGGAGAGCAGAAGACAAATATACAGATTTAGGTATTTCTAAGGTTTTTGTCCTTTTGGATTTCATTTTTTTCTAACTATTCCAGCTTTAAACTGACCTCCATTTCGCCACCTTTGGCTTCACAAATGTCAGTCCCAGTCTCTGAACCAGTTTCATGCCCAGCTTGCGCAGGACCATCTGGTTGCTCTCTGACAACTTGCACTTGTCCAGGCACTCGAGCACAGTAACAGCTGGAAAACAAAACAAACTGCTTTTCAAAAAAATCTGGCTATGAAAATCTTAAAGTTTTGAATGTCCCTTAGAAGATTCAAATTTTTAAAAAGTGCTACTGAAATGCAAATGCCTTATTACCTACTTTGTAGTAGCTCTGACACTGGTCAAATAGTGGCAATACCCTTCACTGCCCAAGCAGGAAGGATGGCTTTGAGGATTCATTTTGACTATGAAAATGATAATCTACATTCCCAGAGTGCTTATGCCTCTAATTCTCACTGGAAGCAACATGTTCAAGTGTATTGCAGGGTCTGAGAATTTTCAGTAATCTAACAGAACCAAGATTCAGAAAATATTCATTTACTCAGAAAACTCAACAGTTCCTGCACACCCTTTCCTTGTTCAGTATTTTCAGGCAGCACCAACCTAACTCCTCTGGCACAGAGATTTTTATGAGGATGGATGTCCATAAACATTTAGGCATGAGAAACACTGTGTATGTGTAAACAGTCGGCCACAAAACCTCTCATCTGGGCACATCAAAGGGAACAAAGTTATTTGTCCAGCGAAGTAAAAAAACACAGGGAAAGGAAAATCTTGGGCTAATGAGTATAAGGCTCCAGGTTTCCAAATTTTCACAGGGAACCCATGCCTGTTACAAATAAAAAAGACCTTTTGTAATTTTATCAGGCTGAAAATAATTCTTGATTGAAGGCTGACCATGAGCTAATAGAGACTAATGACCTGGGCTACGAAGGACCATCATTCTTCCAAACAACACTGCACACAAGGAATCACCCTGGCAGAATGCTCTGCAACCTCTTCCTCCAGTACCAGGGTTTTCAAAATACTGAGATCAAAGAAAACCCAATTATTTCAAAGTCTGAGAAGTTGTAGGACACGACTTACAAACCTCCTCAGTCTTTGAAAAGGCAGGGGATGGATCCTGACCTACTAAAATACTAATAAATGATCCATGCAGACAACAAGGTGAAGCCAGTGATGATGACCATTGCTTGGACACTTTCCAGCAACCTGGATTTTCTGCAGTTATAAAAGCTTGAGAGACTGATGGTTTAGGAGGAAGAGGCTGCAGAAACATCAATATTCACAGAGAGAAAAAAAAATTAAGAATATACAAATATAAGCCTCTTCCAAGTCCTCTCAGCTCTCGAATCACTGTAATATCTACAGATCCATGTAATGGCTTCAGGACTAGTGTTTGTTTTCAAACCAAGTTCTATGTCACAAATTACTTCAAACAGGACCTTTCTTTGACATTTGCCTATTTCCTTTCTCCTATTTCATCCTCAGATTTGTTATAACTAAAAATCTGAGGTATTTTTTGTCTCTCACAGTTTTTTATCCTGAACAGTTTCCGTCTGAATACCTGCTTCTCAGTTGTGAGATTTTAGATTTTCTAAGGTAAATTTAGTCACTGGTACACCCCTGATTTTTCCCTTATTACCAGACTCATAACTACTCAATATTCTTTCTGTGCCATGGGCCAAAGAATCTGCTTTTGCCAGCAGGGTTCATTTTGTGGGCTCAATATGCTCTTTCCATACCCGTTAAGACTATTGTGTTGTACAGCTGCATATTTCAAATTATGTAATTTTGTGTCATACCATATTTTATCCAGCCTGTTTATTATTCTGCTTCTCTGAGAGCTTCTCCAGTGCTGCCTGCCAGTTCTGTGGGATGGCATTCCCAGTATTTGCTGTTTGTTCCTGACCAGCCACACAGCACCTGTGTGGTTCCATGTTATTTGTCTTCACCATCTTATCTCCATCTTTACCCACCTCTCAGGCATTTTCTAAGGAATTATCTGGAAAAATGAAACTGTTTCCAGCACTAAACTTAAAAATCTTCTTCTCAGGGCCAAAATAATTAATTGCATTAGTGAAATTCTTGGGGCCAAAATAATTGCATGAGTGAAATCAAGCACTCTGAAGAGAGTTTACATCACTGCTTGGTTCCTGAGAACAGCACGAACCCCTTTTCTGCTACTTGGATGAGCTCCACAAAACTGATGAGGTCTTTTGCAGTGTTTTGGAATTAGCCACCATCTTTCCCTGCCTCTCTTTGTTGCTATCAATAAAACCCAAGATCATTACAGTCAGTTCTGACCATACTCCAGGATTCACCACGAGATGAACATAAATCCAACCAGCTGTTCAGAACCCTCTGTGCTCTCTTTATGGTACCTGTCTATCCCTAATTATATCCAGTACAATCTCTTTTCACCAAAACCTTTTTTTTTATTCCAACAGTATCCTGACATAATTCCAGCTGGGTCCTGTACACAACCAGTTCTTGGGTTTTCTGAAACCCTGTGCTTAAGTTTAAACTTGAAGAGTCTGCAAAATTTTCAGCAGTAATATTTACAAAACTAGTTAATGCTCTAACGAATTTTTAAAAATATTTTCCACATCTTACAGGTTGTATGTTCCATGTTCAGCTCCTCTATTACAGGAGTGGCCAGTGTGATCACCTGCCAAATCCTCGGACGTGCTGTTCCAACACAACATTCCCTAGTGGCATCTGTTCCTCCCTCACAGTCATCTCTACTTTTGCTCCCCTTGTTTTCCCTGCTTTATCACTTCCCTGTTGATTCCACTCCTTACAGCACCACTTATGACCAGGTTAATCTTCCTTTCCCTTTTTGATTGCAATGGCTTTAAAAACTGAAATCAAGATATTACAAACTTACCATACGGCAAGCAATCCTCTCTCTTGCCATGTTTAAACAGCTGTGCCTGCAAGTGAAATAGGGAAAACAGACATGAGAATACAGAGATTCTACAACATGATTTACCAAGTATTTAGTTTTAAAATACTTTTTATTGTTCATGCAATAATCTGTGGTGTTTGCTGATTTAAATTTGCATAAAAGGAAAAGAGTCTCAGGGTGCAGTTACACTTCTTGGTAAGTGCTCAGGGGGCTGAGCTGGCCAAAAAACACTCAAGAGAGAATTAAAAATAACAAGGAAATAAAAAAAAAAAAAAGAGAGAAAAATAAAAGTAACCAGTTTTGGGCCAACTCAGGTCCCTGTGACAGGAGTCACAGCTTGTGAGAGCCTAAACCACCTACAGACACCTGGGAGGGCAAACCTCTGCAAATACACCTCCAACAGTCCAACTTAACTCCTGTGCTGAGGGATTTGTGCAGCAAAGAGCACAAAGTTTCCAAAACCATCTTCTCTACAATTAAATACCCCGGTTAGATCAAGCCCCAGAGAGACAAAGGGACTGCAAACACCTGAGAGAGCACCTCACACGTTAAAGGACACATTAAACGCTCCCTCTGCTCTCCCAACGCGCATCAAAACTCCTGGGCTCAGGCACTTGTTTGCCCTTGCTCTGGCACTCACCAGAAGGAAAATCTTCCTCAGGAAATATGCCTGGGAGTTAAACAAGAACAGACTTCCCCTAAAAGTCCACAGTTTCTCACACATACCAAACACACACACACACCTCCCGCGCTGCAGGCGGGGCTGGGAGCAACACGGGCAAGAAAAACACCTCGGGGCTGTGTGCCCATCCTGGTTTGGTTTGGTACCAAATTGCCCTTCAGGATCCCAAATTAGCACTGCTGATCAGCTCCACTACAAGCTATATATGGGAATTTGGTATTATATATGGAAGTATTTAAGATTTTAATGCAGGCAACGGTGAGGGAATCCCTTAAAAATGACATTTACAAAGCAGCAACGCTACAGCAGGACTTCAGGCCCAGAAGAACAGCCAATAAATACCAACACAAATGTATAAATGTGGCACAGCTTTTAGCAATATACCATGTCAGTGTTAAAGAAAATACAAATATTTCTCACTGGCATACAACGAAACTCTGCTTTGTGCTAAAAAGCCTAAAGAAAAGCTGTCAGAAAACCTCCAAACCTTTGGTACAACAAATCTGGAGCGCCTCTGAAATTTCTCTACCTCCTTGTTGAAACATGCAGAAGCTCATTTCTTCATCACTTTGTTCCTGTGTTCTGCTTTAAAACCCATCATTGTTTTCTCCACATGCTCTGCCAGGAATGCTGGAGACCCAGCAGCATCCCTGCATTCTCACAATTCCTTCTCCTCGCTGGCCAACAGCCCAATGAACAGCAAATACAGTTTTTAAGGCACACACACAGGCTGCCTCCAAATGTTTAGTATTATATTCAAGTATTTTCAAACAAAGCACAGTGTAATTCCTCAAGCAGTGACAATGCAAAGAAACAGCTTTATAACAGATCTTTGGGAATGCTCCTGCACAAAGGCCTTTGGATGTCTGCTCCCACACCGCTCAGCACCCGGCCAAGGCACCCTGCAAAGGTGGAACAGATCCTCAAGACACCAACATGTTTTCAGTCTTCCACAGTTCCTAAATTCTGGCACCTTCCTACGAATTTCTCCATGAGTTTTCACAGGACTGACTCCCCAGGAAAAACAGAACTGAAGGTGCCACCTCTGAGCGAGATGTGGGAAGGAATCAACCAACACAAGAGCAGGAAATGAGAAAACTCTTCAAATACTGCACAGGAATTTTTTTAAATGCTTTAATAAAAATAAGTAAGAAAACAGCCTCACACACCTATGAGTGAATTTAGCACAGTGACCTGGGCAGATTCCATGTCACAGCCATTTCCATTATTTTCTGAACAAAGCAGCCAGAACACACATTGTTTCCCCACAGCAGTTTCATTAAAACCTAAATTTCAAACTATTTGCAACACAGAACACCTACTCCCAAACAAAACTACAACGATTTCTAATATCCTTCCAGATGTTAAAATCATCATAGCAACAACTCTATATCAACTGAGATGTGGATTAAGGGACTTTATCAATACACATTTTTAGGGGAAGTAAAAATTACCCAAAGGACACCGTAGTTGCTGTGTTTAAATTAAAAACTAAACTTTTAAAAAATGGGACTTAATATTTACATGGTTGTTGATCAGTAAAATACATTACCCACTGATTTTGGAATAAACAAAGCTGAAAATGCAAAATGTCTGACAGGGAAGAAGGTTCTGTTTGCACCCATGGAGGTGCTCTGTGGGTCAAATGAAGCCTTGGAGCAGGTTATTGGTGTTTCTGCCAGTGAAGCATTGGGTATTTCTCTGTGTCAGAGAAGTTTGAGAGCCATTTTTAAAACAGTTTTTACAGAACTAAATATGTAACAGCCCAACTGTGGGGAACTACTCTTCAGATATTCAACACAGCAGGAAATCCAGTGTCTGGGTTTGTTTTTTTTCTGAGTGCAGAAAAGACAAGAAAAGAAGATTTCATTATTTCTTTATGAGTCAAAGCATGCAGAAATCCAAATTTCTCAAACTTTTGAGTGTAGCAGATAGATTTTCCAGAGAAAATAAGAGAGCACTTTGGGAAAAGAGAAAGAAAAAAGCATGTATTTTCTTCCAGCACATGCTACATGCTACAGTCAGGCATGTACAATACAGTTACTGCAAAATACAGTTACAGAAAAATCCTGCAAGCCTGGAGCTCACAGGGGTTGTACTAACAAGAGAAGTTCAAGATGCATGAATGGAAAACATAAAAAAAAAAAAATAGGAAATATAGGAAAAATATAGGAAAAAGGTCGAATCAGCATTGCAGTATCCAGCTTAAACTTCCTGCCTTGAAGGAAGAAAAATATCCAAGGCACACCATTTCCAAAAATCTGATACAAACAAAGCAATTAATAAGCTTGGTTTGCCACCTGCACAGGCACTCTGGTGTCAGCACTGCCAGTGCTGAAAGCCAGGAGCCTGCCTGTCGGAGCATCCCGGCAGCCGGAGTTACGCCACGGGCTCCTCACCTAATGAGGACACAAAGCACACAACTCACCCAACCTGCTCAACTGTTGAGAAGTATGTGACTCCCTCTCTTATAAATAATTAAGCCACCTACAAATTAGAGAAAATCAGTGGTGTGCAAGCAATGACGACTGTCAGGTCTGGCTCTGCTTTAGAAACAGCGCCGGGCAAGGCAAACACAGCCCAGTTTCTCAGTAATCCCGGCAGAGACACCACACCTGCCAATTGTCTGCCTAACCCACTTTGGGCCCGACCTGCAGGAGGTCTATCAGTCGGGATCATCTCCAGGACTTGTTCCCCAAGCTACACAAATCACCACGAGGGGTGGCCTGGCTGCTGGGGAGTGAGTGGATCTTCCTGCCGAGCAGGAGGCACAAGTCTGGATCTCCCCTCTGGTTGTAACCAAGTGGAGGACTGGGAGGATAATTCCAGCCTCGCTGGGAAGAGCAGGAAATGATGCCTTGCACTGCTCTGGAGCACCCCCTGGTAGCCACACAACACCCAGGGAATGCCATCAGCCATCCCTGCCTCCTGGCTGGGTGCAAGGAGAGAGGACATGCTGTCAGAACCTCAGTTCACTTAGAATGCATTAAATATTCCCTACCTCCATGTGCAGCTAATGGTTAAATGGGTTAGTTAAAGCCCTTGTTCTCACTCTGTCTCCAGCACAAGCAGCACTCCTGCTGTGGGACACACGTGTTTGGGTGTTGAGCATCACCACAACACATCCACGTCAGACACCAACACAGCCCAGGGATCCAAAGGATGGCACCTTCCATGTGACCTCAGTTATTTATCAGCTGGATGTCTGAGAAGTTTAGACCAACACATGGAGAGCTGACAGAGTATCTCCTTTCCATCTTAAGGTGACCCAAAACCACAGATTTTAAATATTTGGAAGGGAAATAAAATTTAGCAGCTTGAGACAGTAACACATTCTGACAGGAAAACGAAACAGCTTTATGACAGGAAAAAGAAACAGCTTTATGACAACAGAACTTCTGGACCTTGAACAAACCACAAAACTCCTGCTGAGAAGGAAAAACCTGAGCAGTGTCAGACAAGGCCACATTAGAACAAATACTCAGTGACACTCAGGACAGAAATGACATTATCAGGAAGGAGTCAGTGCCTTTGGTACCTGCAGATATAAGAACTTTGGTTTCTCTCACCAACACTGCTTTTTCTACACCTTTATCACCAAACCACTAAGCAACAACCCCTTTTTAAAAAAAGTAATGCCAACAGACAATCCTAACACGGCCAATTCTTTGAGAATGCCAAAAATACAGAGACTTGGGAAACATTCTATTTGGAAATATTCTATTTTTGTGCCTCTGGGTCTGAAAGAATGGAGTTAGAGAGTTCTTTCTTCCCTGGAGCCAAATTTACATAAGCATGTAGCTATTGCTAAATAACCTTTGCATTAGAGACAGCTCAGGGAAATGCCTCGTTCTTAAGACTCGAGTTTCATCAGATCACCGTGTAGGGCGTTTTATTTTTTTTAATTATTACTCACACTTGTATACTGAATCACTTATAAAACAAATAAGGTTTAATAAGTTTCAATGCCCAAGGCTACCTCAACGTGATGACATCTCTGTCACGCAAGAACTGGGAGTGCTGCGCCCTGCAGCGATAACTAAAAAGCTGTTTGATATAATGGCAGGTTTAAAAGCAAACCTCCAGACCAAGAGAATTTAAAATGCAGATTCTTGAAACAGGGGAGAAGTTTCCTTCGAGTAAACAGATGTTATAAAAAAAAAAAAAAGTAGCGATTTTTTAATAATCTGGGATTATTAAATGCACGAAGAATCTGGGATTTAATTCCGAATTGCGAGGTTAGTTGCAACAAAAAGTGTTTGAAAAGCTGAATCTGAAACAGTGTCACTCTGCTGGTGCCCCCCTGTTGGGAAATGGCCTGTTACTGACGACAGGTGGAAGGGAAAAGAAAAAAAAAAAGGCGGTCCCAGTGGAATTACAATGTGTAATGCCGGGTGCGTGTTCCGACAGGAGCCGCGGAACAGCCGGACTCGTTCTGCACAGAACGCTGAGTGAGATGAAACAGCACACACCTGATCGGCGGGCCCAGGGCCACGAGGAGGCAGATCAAAGTGCAGCCACGGCCAACGACTCCCTGCGTCCCTGACTTGCAGTTTCAGTTCATTGAAATGCAGGAGTTTCGTGTCTTTTCCGAGCGGTTTTTCCGTGCCGAGCTCGCTCCGAGGCGTCGGCTGAGCGCAGACCATGAGCAGCACCATACCAAAACCCGACCAAACCCCCCCAGTCTGGGGCAGCCCCCTTCTGCTCTGAGGGGAAGACTTTTCATCCCCACTCTGCTGGGTTACATCATTCCCGAAACCTGTCACATTCCCGAAACCCGCCTGGCTGTACTGACCAGAAACTGGAAAAGGGTCTTTTTTTTTCTCCTGCTTGTTCAGAGACAAATGCCCAGGCAGCTCAGTTTGGCTCATAAAGTAAAAAATTCCTGGAGGAATCCAAGGGCAAAGAATTTTGAAGCTTATTGACACAAGTTTTAGCTGTCCCTCATGAGGATGGGTTCAACTTTACACACTCAGTGATCACTTGTTATGTTAAAGTATATTGTGTTTATTTATAGAATAAATATGTGCTTATCTATAGAATAAATATGTGCTTATTTATAGAATAAATATGTGCTTATTTATAGAATAAATATGTGCTTATTTATAGAATAAACATAATATAAATATATATAGTGTAATATATATAATATATGTATAATGTAAATACCATATAATGCATTCATTTATAGAATGTGTATATTTACACAATAATATATATACACTATATATATAAAATATATGTAAATAACAATAAATATAATATATATTATATAGTTAGAATCTTGCATGTTTAAGAGAAAAAGTTTACTTCAAGCACTTACTTTCAGCTGATATTTTTTCATTTAACAACGTTGTTGCTACAAGTGTGATACAAAACTCTTAATACTAAAATATGAAGAATATGTATATTTATGTAAATTAGGAATATTTTTATATATTTATATATAAATATTCCTAATTTACATAAATAGGAATTCAAGAGTTAAATATTATAAAATATTTGTATATGTATAAATATTTATAAAATATTTTTATATATTTATATATAAATATTTTTATAATATTTAACTCTTGAAATAAGTATTTTCTGCTCCTCTTAAGCCACACACATAATACACTTTTAATACACTCAGTACAAACATACCACTCTGAGAACCTTTATTCCCTAATGATGTAACTCATGCTTACATTTTAGTGACTGAAACGAAAAACTGAAGACTGAATGCAAGAAGAGGCTTTAAAAACCTGCTCAAATCTACTAATTGGAAGAGGAATTATGAGCTGTAAAGAAGAAAAAAAAAAAGAAGTCCCACAAAAGCAAGGCAGCAGGCTCTGCTCCCAGGTCTATTGTATCACATTCTGGTTTCGATTCTACTTGTTGAGTATTCACCTGTTTCGCTTAGTGAGCACTAATGAACAGGTGGATGGAGCCAAAGCCAAACTCAAAGGAATTACGACAAAACACTAATGCATTATACATCCTGCAGGTCTCATCACGCCCCGGGAATGGCAACCAGGCCGGCTCCCTTTCCAGATCTGACAATAAAATGATGAAACATCATTCTGCCTTTTGAAACGCTGCAGTGCACACAAATAACGCTTCCTCCTGCTGGAGCAGCAGCTCCTCAGTTATTCTAAATATAGATCATTTCTCCTGTCTTCTTATTTGGAAGAGCTCGATGGGGAAGGGGGGAAAAAGAAAACAAAAAAACCCCACGCCCCACACCCTCACTGCAGAGCTTTGCTTTGATGTTCAGTGCCACACTGCACACAAGTCCTCTTAGCAACTGGTTTGAAAGGGCAGCAAATTAATGCAAACTATTAAAACTTTGTCCAAACAGCAGCAAATCCTTAAACCTGTGCAAGTGCAAAGGTTGCAGACAGGAATCTGCCTCGGCTTTGGTGAGCAACCAAACCAAGGAGGTACAACAAACTCCCCCATTCCACCCAAATATATTCGGACATCAGAGCTGCCACAGACACCAGAACTGTCATCCCAGTATTTCAAAATGCACACCAATACTTCTAAAATACTTCTAAAACTACAATAATAAAGCTTTTTAAAAGACCTTTTAAGGATGTACAAGAGGAGTGCTGCCACAGAGCAGTGCTTCAGGTATTGCAGATTTTTCCCCCATGTGTGGCAGGTACAGTTTAAAACCCAAACTGAGAATTCAGCTCTTCTGAATCATACACCACTATTACTTCACAAGGAAAGGGCATTAAACAAAAAACTCATTCAGATTAGCAGGACACCAACACATTTAGTGTGGCTTTTTGAAACTACTGCAGAACAACGGATACAACTTTAAAGCATCCCTTGCATTTTGGTTACCAGCTCTGAAAAGTCCAGGAGAGATCACTGCTATAGCAGAAGTCCAACCTCTTCATTCTGTACAGTTCCCAGTTTTTAATTTATTTCAAAGGTTTTGTTCAGAGAGAAAAAAAAAATCCCTATTTTGACAGTTATTTCTCAGTACTGGCAACTTCACTCTCATTTGGTGATGACAAGACAACTTAAAGAAAATACACATAATTGGGAAGTTACACTGTCCAAACTCCTGTGGAGGAGATTCCAGCTGTATATTAATTTCTGCTTTTTTAATAACCAGGAACCTCTCTGTGCATTTGCCATCAAAGAACTACCATAACAGTATCCTTTGATCATAAAACCAATCATCTGTCTTTCCAAGGAAATATTTACCAGGGCCTGGAGCATGCCATTCACGATGACAGTCCCCTCCATGGTCTGGGAGGAGGATTTGGATAACATGGAGAGCACCCAGTCCAGGAATTCTGCCATCCTGCTTTGCCTGACATCAGGGCGAACAATAAACCTGTCACAGAAAAAAACAAAACACTGCAGTTACTGAATTTATGACACTCAATAAAAACCATTTTTCCTTCTATCCAAAGTGGTTGTAGTTCCTGAAAACAGTTATCCAGTGGATATTTTCCCAAAGTGCTGAGGGTGGGAACGCTCCAAAACATCCCACGTTTAGCCATTCTGCTTCTGAGCAAGGCCCAGAATTTTGCTTTCACATCAAACCCACCTAAAACTTGAATCCTAAAGATTTATCTTAATTGTAAAGCAACAAAATTTCCAAAGGTCCCAGATAAAAGTTATTTCCATTAGAATTGTTAAAAAGCTGAAACAAATGAGGATTCTCCACCATTCTCACCAAGAACAGCCATTCTGCAAATCTGAAAATCAGTGCAAATCAGCAATGGGACCCTGTTGCACCTTCTGCCATCAGCCAGGCCTAGAATGAGTAACCAGTGGGGCTAAATTTGGCTTTTCAGATATCTGAAAAGGTCAAACACCTGCTATTTAACACTAGATGGGTCAAGAGATGGGGAAAAAAAGAGGTTCATCGTGGCTAAACTTCTGTAAACCTACACTCAGCCATCCCCTGCACCAGCCAAGCATCAGCTTCAGTTCCCTCAGTGAGTGCCCTGGCACCTACAAACCAGGATCCTGCTCCAGCAGGGATTCAGACTAAATTTGTTGTCAATGCACCCAAAGGAAACAAAGCACACAGGGAAGCCCACCCAGCACAGCTCAGGGCAGTTCAAGAGGATGTGCACAGTCAGGATCTGGTTCCTTCCCACACCCCCAGAAACTGGGGAGCTGCACCAAGAGACTGACAGAGAACATGGGAACAGTGAGCACAGGGGATGGACTGGCTTCCAAGCCAGTCCCTGTTCTGCTAAGCAGGAGAAGGAGGATTTGGGGAGGGTGAATTGCAGGAGGGTTGTTTTGTGACAGAACACCGAGGATGCCTTTGGCCCAAGGGCACAGGTGAGAGAAGTGACCTGTGAAGTGGATGAGCTGGTTCCTAGACCCTTTCCCAGCCCGAAGGAGTTTAAATCTTTCTTTCCCAAAGGAGTGCCCTAACCTCCAGACTAACACCAGGATAAGGATCAGCCTCATCTCCTCCTGCTGCAAACCCTCACTGAGCAGGCAGAAAGGAGAATTCACAAAACAAGCTCCAGGTTCTTCACCCTACGAAAAGCAACTTACTCTGGAAAACAGGAAGCCTTGAATCCTGATGTTCCTAAACTTCACTTGGAATTCATAACTCCTTGGAGCACCAGTAAGAACCCAGACTTCCTCCTGCTCCCCAGGGACTTTCCCTCTCAAATGCTACAGAGTCAGACTCCTGTATCTTATCTCTCCATCTGTCCCAGGACCGTTGTGTTCCTGCCCACCCAACTAACAGTCCAGTTCCAGGAAGATGGCACAGTGACCTCATCTCATTAAAAAACTGTTTGGGGATGTGAAAGCAGGGAAAGGCCTTCCTGGAGCCAGTCTTCTAATTCCTGGTGGAGCATTTTAATCATCAGGCTATTTTGAAAATGGGTGTTTTCATAATAAACTAAATAATTATAAGTCCACTAAGCAGTGCCATTACAGCTTTACACACGTGGTACTCGAACCAGCCTAATGTGTTCTATCACTTTATTTGTTGTGATCATTTACTCCTAATAACAATTAATTCAGTCAATAAACAAAGGTGAAGACAATATGAGACAACTGCAGACAGGAGGTGCCTGCACAGGACCCAGCATGAGGTGCAGGGCACTGGTAAAATCCCCTCAAAACTCAGGGCTGAGCACAAACCCAAAGTTCTGCTGAACACAAGGCTGCAATCAACCAGGTTATTGTATAAAGCCTCCCCCTCAAAATTTAGTTTTATGGACACTCTGAAGTGCAAATTTGATTAAGTATAATGTGATAAAAGACTCTTTTTTAATTACTGTCACCCTTACTTGACAAGGCTCCCAAATACTGGGTGAAGCTTCGAGAGTTTATTAGTGTTGGTTAATCTGGGTGCTTTCTGGAATTTTAGGAAGTGAAGAAGGCTCATGTGAATGCTCAAGGAGAATTCATTCTGTGTCACGCTGTCACCTCAAATCCTCTGCTTCTGTCAACCTGTGACAAGGCAGATTATCCTTGCAGATACATAAGATCCCAGAAAAGCAACTTCTAATTAGTCATTCCAAAATCACTGCAAAAACTAATTAGGATCATAGAATTATAGAATCATAGAATGGTTTGGGTGGAAGGGACTTTAAAGACCATCCAGTTACAACCCCCTGCCATGGGCAGGGACACCTTCCATAGCCCAGGTTGCTCCAAGACCCGTCCAACCTGGCCTTGGACACTTCCAGGGATGGGGCAGCCACAGCTTCTCTGGGCAACCTGTGCCAGGGCCTCACCACCCTCAAAGGGAAGGATAATGAGCCAAACCTATTTTCTGTTACATGGACATAAGTATGTAACAGGCAAGAGATTATTTACTCCAGACTACACAAATGATTCATGGAATCACTTGAATTTTGCTCTGGAATATTTCAGAGTAATTCAGAAAAGCAAAGGATGAGTCACCAGAGAACTGTGATTCTGGTCTTTAGTCCTTCATGGATTTTCTGCATGACACTGTCAGTTCTTAGACAAAACAGTACTTGATTTGCCATCAGATTCAGACCAGAAGCATCACACTCACTAAATATAAATTCCTAAAGTTTTGAGTCCTGTGACTGAAGCTCAGAATAAATTTAAAATAAGTACACAGACAGCTACTGCCTAAAGAGACAGTCAGAGTCTGCTCTGCTAAATGTTGTATTTAACAACTACTTTGACACAATGAATCCCATAAATTTTGTGGCTCTTAATCCAGAGAAGAACACGAACAGGGTTTATGGCTGTGACTCTCTTCCCAGACCCACTGTCCCCTGTCACAACCTCATGTCCTGCTGTCCCCAAGTCTCCACTGTCCTCGTGTCCCACTGTCCCCAAATCCCACTGTGCTTGTGTCCCCATGTCCTGTTGTGCCCATGTCCTGCAGTCCCCATGTCCCACTGTGTCTGTGTCCCCATATCCACCTGTCTCCCTCTCCTACTGTCCCCATGTCACCCTGTCCCACTGCACCCGTGTCCCCACGTCCCCATGTCCCGTGCCCCAGTGTTCCCAGTCCCACTGTCCCTGTGTCCCCCACGTCCACATGTCCCTGTCTTCCCTGTCCTGCTGTCCCCACATCCCCATTGCCCCCTGTCCCCATCCCGTGTTCCCCCTGTCCCCACGTTCCATGTCCCCCATGTCCCCCTGTCCACACGTGCCTGTCCCGTGTCCCCCGTCCCCACTTCCTGTGTCCCCCTGTCCCATGTCCCCATCCTCACATCCCCCTGTCCCATGTCCCCCTATCCCCACATCACCACGTGTCCCCATGTCTCTGTCCCCATGTCTCTGTCCCCATGTCTCTGTCCCCATGTCTCTGTCCCCATGTCTCTGTCCCCATGTCTCTGTCCCCATGTCCCCACGTTCCATGTCCCCACGTTCCATGTCCCCACGTTCCATGTCCCCACGTCCCATGTCCCCACGTTCCATGTCCCCACGTCCCTGTCCCCATGTCCCTGTCCCCATGTCCCTGTCCCCGCAGGGCACCGGCAAAGCCGTGCGAGCAGCTCCCCCTGGCGCGCACGGGCTGCACTGCAGGGCCGGGGCTTTTACTGCTTTGGAGACTCGGAAAAGGGAAGGAAATCCAAATCCATCACAGCCTGAGCTGAATGTGCGGGAATGGGGGCCGGGATAGACACCGAAACAAGGGATACACGTGTGCTATCCCAGTTCACGGTCTCTGTCATTTCTTTCCATGTGCATCACAACCCACACCCTCTCCACGGATGCAGCAGGAGAGAGGAGGTACACGAGCTCGTTATTCAAATTTATAAACCCCCCTGGTGGTTTAAATAATTCTTTTATTCAGTATTACTGGAGTGATGCAAAAAAATGTCAGAACAACCACACGCCTGTCACAGATTGTCCCCAAGCCTGAACACCAACCATGTAAAACAGTGGGATCACAAAGTTCCCTTATCCCACACCTGTTCCTTTTGATGAGTTATTTGACAACAAAAAAAGCTAAGAAAACAGAAGTAGTATTGCTTTCTGAATGAGAGATAATTAAGAAAGTTAATTCTAGCATTACTATTTCCTTTTACATAATTTAAGCACTATCAGTAATACCAGAGACCAATTCCCTATTTATAGTGCAACACCTGTAAAAATCAGCAGCAACACTAAGGATCTCTGAAACCCTGTAGCACAAACCAGCCCCTGAAGGCAATTTCTCCAGTATCCTGTTGACAGGGAAGATCTGCATCAGGTGTGACAGAAACACATTCCTCTATCAAGCAGAGGAAATCGATTCCCAACAACAAACACACTTGTTGGATCCAATTCAAGCACCAGTAACATCCCACAGACAGCTGGCAACTTCCAGCCCTCCCAACCCTGTCACAGCAGACTAAGGAACAGCAGGAGAAATGGGAGCCAGGCTTTTCCTTTCTGCCAAGGAGCACAAAAGAGACTTACTTGGACACCAGCACAGCAGCTGCATCCCGAGCCTTGTCACTGACAACCAGGTAACACTAAAGGGAGAAGAAAACTGACTGTAAAAGAATTCACACGTGGAGATTTAACACCAACAACAGTGTACACAATACACTACTGGATACTTATGATTACAAGTAGTATGATGATTACACACATTATGTCATTACTGTGATTACAAACTGAGCTTAAGGTAGTAAAAAATTAATTTTCCCATTTAACAAACTGTATCTGAGGCAGAGTCTCCCCTTCTGGTGCCTTTTAAAGCAGGTTTATTACCTTTACTGAAGACATAACTCACAGGCACATTGGCCTACAAGCAAAAGCCTGCAAGTGCCAGCAGTGTGAGCTGTTGGGGTACCTGTGGGAGGGGGACTTGTCTATTTTTATCTCAAAGGGATGACAGGTCACCACCTGAGCTGACACCCAGTGAAACTTTGTTGAAAAACCTTCAGGCAGTCACAGCTTCCAAAGTTAATCATTCTGATCAAACACCGATTTCCTCTAAAAATCCTCGATTTTGGCTTTCAGCAAAAGCTCACTGGCATTTTCAAACACTGAAAGCCACTAACAAACTCAAAGGCAGGTATTCACATGTAATAAGTTAGTTTATTACATCAGAGAAAACAAGTAACAGTCTCACCTGTCACTAAAGCAGCAAACAACAGACTGAAGATTCCAAACGTACGGAGAAATTCTTTGCAGATTAGACACAAAACCATGGACATATATTCTATATATTCTTAAGTAATATCATTTTCAGAATATTATTTATTAAATATCAAAACGTGAAGCCCAGTATCACAGGTTTGAAAGTATTACAAGAGGCATTTTCCTTACTTTAGCTATTTCCAGGATGCGATCCATGGTCGGCTGCCGAGCCTTCCCTCCCTCTGAAACAAGGTTTCCATCAAAACGGGCCAGATCAAAAGGAATCAGGCAGATCATGGACAGCCACAGCAAGAGCATGTAACGAGTCTCCCAGGTCTGGAAAGGAATGGTAAAACAAAGTAATTACTCCATTTTCTGGAATGTATTCCAAGCAAGTCTCGGGAGCACAAACTACCCACTGCTTCCAAGGAACTTTCAAAGATGATGAAGAGAAAACGCCAAACATGAGTGTCCTGAAACTCCAAAGGAGACAGAACTACAAGTGATCCCAAACAGCAGAACTGTAACAAAATTAATGGACTCTCCTCCCCAAACCTGAAATCTAGGAAGGTTTGTTTCCTTCTCCATGGAAAACTGCACGTTTCCATTTTCCTGTTCCTCCTTCCCTCAGCCTGTCTGTGCCTCCGGTCACAAATATAACAGAAATATGCTTTTCTTCCTAATTTCTTATTTATTGCTGTCATGGGTTTACTGAAACAACTTCAGATGAGCTTTGAGAGACAGACAGACAAGAAGGAACTTTTTCCAAGCTTTAAAGCTGTACAGCTACAGCAGCAAAGTGCCAGAACTGATGGTGTTTATTAAAAAAATACTTTAATTTAGAGCAGCAATGTAATTATTGTCTTCAAATCCATGATTTTTGTTACTTATAACAGATCATGATCTATCTTAAAACTCATCTATCTTAATAAGCCCTCTGGAATTCTGATTTTTCCTTATTCAAAAATGTAAGAATATGAAATACAGCATCTTGGAATCAGACTCAATGATCCTTATGAGTCACTTCCAACTCAAGACATTCTATGACCTCAATCCATGAAATCCATTAAAAATTCTTTGCTTAATTATTTTTTTAGAATCAGGATTCTTGCCCAGAACATTCCCAGCCAAATAAAACTTTCAAATCAGAACACATAATGAAGTGGTGTCACTTTGTTTTTCAAACTACAAACAGGTAGAAAGAAAATATCTGAAATTCTGTGTTATTTTTCTACACTCAGGAATATATTGTAAAAAGGCAGATTCAGGCCTTGTGCTACAATTGTGACATTTTTTCCAATCTTCACCTTACTCCTTTCAAAAGAAAAGGGAAAAAAAAAACCAAACCAACACCTACAGATCTGAAGACACGTATTGAGGGCCTGAGGATGAATGTTTTATGAAATCAAACAAAATTAGTCTTTGTTTCCTTACCAACACAGAAGTTCTACCAACTTTGACAAAACCCAAAGGTTTACAAACCAGCCTTACTTACATCAAGAAATAAGAAAAAAACACAGAAAACTTAAAACCTCTGTTTCCTGTGATTTTACTGTGATTGACTTCAAGCTAAATTACCAGCACTGTTAATGATGTGCACAGCAGGAAGAGGATTTTTCAGTTACTCCTTTTGGAGGTTCAACATCTTTCACTGCCCTTCTTATTACTGTTGTTTCCATCAATCTGTTCCATCAGTCTATGAGTGGTGACAGGTTTTTACCCAACCTCCACTGCTTCTGAATCCTTGGAACAAACCCCATGGAAGAAAGCCAAGACCTCTCCTTCAGGAAGGCATTTCTCCTCTGACAAGGTGATGGTTTCACACTAAATCCACGTGCTCAGTTAACACCTGACAGGGTCTATCACTGCTTTAAACACTTTTTTCCAGGTTTTTTTTCTTACACTGCTCACCTGGAGCCACGAAAAGCACAGCAAGTTCCTCACCTCGGAATCCCTGGGGTTCTGCTCCGCGAGCATGTCCAGAACAGGCTGCAGGTCCCGGACTTCGTGAGGAAACAGGGGGAGGAAACGTTTGTACCCTCTCACCTGCAACAGAAAGTTCCAGAATTCAGTGACCCAACCAGCATCATCACCTACTGGGGGAAAGGAAAGACACCCCCCCCCCCAAGGAATTTCTTGGTTAGGATCCTCGTGTCATAAAAAGAGTAAGGGCACGACCTAAGGTCTTAAACACCTTGAGATGTCTGTGTTTTTACAAACTTATTAAGAACTTATGAAATCCTAATTCTTCAACTTTAAAACAAGGGGGCTCTGGAGATTGTCTCGTCCAACCCTCCTAAAGCAGGGTCACCCAGGGCAGAGTGCCCAGGACCACGTGTGTGGGGTGCCCAGTACCTCAGGGATGGAGACCCCACCACCTCTCTGAGCCACCTATCCCAGTGCTCAGCCCTCACAGTCCAGAACTGTTTCCTTGTGCACAGATGGAAGTTCCACAATCCATCTAATTCTTTATCATATTTTACTCTTCAGCATTATGACTCTTGTCTGATCACTCAGTATCTCAATGCCTGCGATATTTTTTGCATTCAGACCTTGATGTTTACAATTCTGGATCATTAAAAAAAGAAAAAGAGCTATCACAAACATTGTGAAAAATGAGAAAAAAGAGAGCTTATGTTTCACAGTCAAGCTTGAAATATTTTATCACATTACTCAGACATTTATTTATTTTACTACTTTTGAAAATAACAAACAGAATATTGGTAACTTACACATTTCAGTTACAGGATGTTGAATTTGGGATTCCTTACCTTTGTGATGATGTAAAGAAATTTAAAAGCCAGGTGAACTAGAGGGGGAGGAGATCCTTTGTCCCGTGCTATATCCAACAAGGAATTCATCATCCCCTCTATGAAAGGAGAGGAAAAACAGTGAGACTACATGCAGTTCACTTACAGTTTTTCATACTTCTAATAGTAAAGAAGGAGTCAGTAATTAATAATTACTTATAATGTAAGTAATACAGCCACATCAATCTTGTAATACAAACGTGGATCTTACAGTTTAACAGATTTTCAAGTAAATACACAAAAATTATCTAAAGATGACATTCCTACCTAAGTGGTGGTCCAAAAGGTGAGGCTGCTCCTGGTACTTGTCCATTATACCTGAAAAATGAAAAAGACATCTGTAATAAACTATGCAAATGACAGGCTTTGAGAGGCATTAACTGTGAGATACCCCCTGACTCTGGACTGCTTTAGCTTAAGATTCCTGTATCCTTGGGCTGCCATCACCTGTAAGTGAGGTGGAAAAGTCAGACAACTATAGTTAGAAAACAGTGCTCCCTGGACACACTGGGTGTCACCCCAAGGCTGCCATTCCCAAGCCTGGAATGTATCTAAAGCTGCAGTTCCACTCCAGAGGATCTGCACTCACACAGGGCACAGGCACAGCAAAATTCTCACCTCTTTCTTGGGAGCTCCCTGACTACAGCAGACAAACACCCCACACAGCAGCACTGTGCAAGTGAGGGTCCTCCTCACAACCCTGAGAGCTACATTTTTATTTTGAAATACAGGGAATTATTCAGCAAAGAACAAAGAATCCTTGACAAATTTTAACCTGGACGAACACAAACTGCAGCTACTCCCATCTGTGCCCCTCAAAACTATTCACATCCCTGAATATTCACTTACTCTGTTACTGCTCACTCACTCTCTTTTGGTCTCTTCCTTTTGGGTACTGACTCAAGGAAGGACAAATTGAAATGGAATATTGAAAAAAAACTAGGAACAACTTGCCAGGGTTTTTAGACACAAAAGCTTTTCAATTTAAACCCAGAATCAACAAAAATCAGCTACAGAAATGAGAACTGGATTCCAGGAGAAATCATCAAGCGATCCAATGTTGCGCTGGAGATGTCCTGGGATATTTTATCTATTTGGTCAGAAAACAGCTTTTCAATTAGAAAACTAAAACCTCCTTAACCTCTCCTTTCCCTGCATTTGTTTCCCTCTCAAACCATTTTGCTCTCTGTCCTTTTTCTCTGGCTGACACATCAACACTTACACTGAAGGCGTGACTCAACTCCAGCAGTGCTGCACTTGACCAGTGGATGACACTGCACAACCACTTTCAAGACACCATCCAGAGGTATCCCTGTGCAATTCCACTGGGATACCACAATGCCATCAAGAGGGAAACCTGAGCTCCTCATCCTCACTAACCTCCCACTGTAATAACGATGCCTTAAGCTGTGTACAAACAGCAGAACTGGTGGACACAAATTCCACCAACGCCCAAAGCAGCAGCTTTCCAGCAGAAGTGGAATTTAACAGCAAATTCTTTTCCCAGATCCCAGCCTGGTAATGTAAATAAACCCCTAAATATAAAAGCTGAAGAGAATAAAGCTAAAACAGTTCTTCTAATGCTATTATTTCAGAAGAGATCTTTCCTCATTTACCTACAAAACTGTGGTTGCAGACTAAACTGTTTCCCAAATTTCTGTTTCTAATGGTTCACCAAAAATTGAGCACCCAGAGTTTTTGTGAACCTGCATTAAACCCTGCACACAGATTAAAGGTATTCCCTAAGTTTCAGCATTCCAGCCCACACACTGACCACAATCTTAACAGATTTGGGACATTTTGCCCAGGAAGGATCAAATGACACCTGAGGACACTGAATATTATAACCCAATACTGAACCACCTGCACAGTACCTGTCAGTTTTAAGTATATTGAGCCTGTATTTACTGAGCAATGACAGGCAGGCAGAAAGCTCACAAATTCAATTTAAATACCCAGAGACAGCACACATGATGTGACACAGAGAGAGGCACAGCAGGGTGATCTGCTGGGGGAGATGATGCCTCTCAGACACCGAGATTTTTGCAGCAATGGCTTTTTCTACCCCACTGAAACCTGACATTTCACCTGTGACACTGAATGATCAAAGACTGTGAGTGTTCTGGGTACTGCTCTCTGAACAGCTACATGTTCATCACTGGCCTCCTCAGATGGAACAGTCAATTCAGTCAACCAAATACAACGCTAGTAAGGAACTTCTGCAGGCTTAAATCTCTAAATTTGCAGTTTCTGCTTTATTGTTTGCTTACCTGGTTTCTTTCTGTCAAAAACACAGCTGCTGGATCAATATTTTGACTGTAAGTTTTTGCAATTTCACCACTCTCTGCAGAAGTATTTGCAAAATGCGAGTCTGCAAGAGTCAGTTTGTAAATTCATGAAGCGCTGAATTAACTTTCGCAAATCACCTGGTCAGAATATTGACCCAACAATATTCTGACAGATGTGCCTTGTAACGGGCTGATTACCCAGGACACCCCTGCAGGCACCTAATTACAGCCCTCCCAGGTTCAGCTGAGGTCTGGGGACAGAACAGCTTTCATCAGGTGGCACAAAAATCAGATCCAAGTTACCTCCACTCAGAAAAAAAAATACATGATCTGTATGGATTCAAAACCCTTCACGTTCCCTATGAAACAGAAGAGCAAAAATATTAAATTGCCACTTTAAAGCGCAAAATGTGAATGTTTTGACAAGTAATTAGCTACAAAAAGTATTTTATTTGATAGACATATAAACTTTAACTGAATTACAGCCTGCATTTGAATAGGAAACTGGAGGCAAAATAGGAGTCGGAATTCTGATTTCTGAGACCTAAGACCAGGATTTTTAATTATAGTGGCTAAATACCAGGTAATAAAGGATGGGAAACAAAACGAGCAAAAAACACAAACCTGAACCACCTGTTGATAAATTTCCAGCATTATCAATGACCTAAAAATTAAGACTTTTGGCGCCTTTTTGATTATCAGCAATAACAAAACAATACATAATAGAAGATTTTACATAGCAAAACGTTGGTGTTTAGCAATAGCACGCTCTGTGGATGCCGTGCTTACCCACGAACCGCTCCACGGCCATCTCCCGGGTCACCAGCTCCCCGAAGACGCCCCTGAGGTTCGCGATGAGCTCGGCGACCTCCCGGCTCTCGGTGAAGCTCTCCAGGAAACTCCTCTCGCTGACGGCCCCGGGCTCCCGCTCCTCGCCTTCCTCCGGCCCCGGCCCCGCTCCGTCCATCCCGTCCCGGTGCGGTGACACGGGGCAGGCGGGTCCCGGTGCGGTGACACGGGGCAGGCGGGTCCCGGTGCGGTGACACGGGGCAGGGCAGGTCGGTGCCGCCGCCCCGCACTCCCCGCCCGGCCGCACCACGCGGTCCCTCCCGCGGTCCCTCCCGCGGCCCCGCCCGGTCCTGCCGCCTTCCCCCGCCGTCCGCCCCGCGGGGCTCCGGGCACAGCCCCGCGAAGGGTGAGCGATACCCGGACCCCCCGCCCGTCCCGGGGCGATGGCCGGGACAATCAATGGCCGGGAAAAACAGCCGGGGCCGCTCCGGGCCCGCCCCGCGCCGCCGCTGCTCCCGCCTCCTACGGGCGCCGGCAGGGAACAAGGGAGGCGGATCCGCGGAGCGAGGGGCGGGGGAGCTGCGGGGACACACCCACCACGGGGACAGGGACACACCCACCATGGGGACAGGGACACACCCACCATGGGGACAGGGACACACCCACCATGGGGACAGGGACACACTCACCATGGGGACAGGGACACCTGGCCTGAGGACAGGAACACTGAGCAGAGACACCCACCCTGGGGACACACCCAGCAGGTACAGGGACACCCAGCCTGGGGACACCAACAATGGGACACCCACGAGGATGGGGACATCCAGACTGGGGACAGGGCCACCCACGTTGTGGACACTCACCCTGGGGACATCCAGGCTGGGGACATCCCCCCTACTGGGGACAGGGACATCCAGGCTGTGGACACCCACCCTGGGGACACCCACCCTTAGGGACACTCAGCCTGGGAGCACTCACCAGGGACAGGGACACCCAACTATGGGGTCCTGGGGATGGCGGCAAGGATAGGCATGTGGGAATGGGCTCCCAAGCATGGGGACACCCAGGGAAGGGGACCCAGGGGTGAGGACAAGGATAGGGACCCCTGGGGAAGGGAACAGGGATGGGACTGCAAGAGGAAGGATCTGGGATGGGGACATCGGTTGCACAAGGAGCGGGCGAGGCATCTGGATACTGCTGTTATTTATCCATGGCCTCCATTCCTCACCCAACCCACACCAAGACACTGCATACAACATTAACCTGGTTAACAACCTAAACCCCCCAAAATTCTGGAAACAACATTGGAACCCTGAAAGCTACAACTACAGTTCCACTGACTGTACAGGGAATGCAGGGAGGCACTTCAGCCTGGCCAGGATGTCGGGAAGGCAGCTGCCCTTTCCTGGTATCCAGCAGCTCCATCCACACCCAAATACCTTATCTTCAGGCTCAAATTCGTTGAGACAAACCACAGGCACCAGACACAGGTACACCAAACACCTGGTTTCTGCAAGGCAAGTGTTTTATTTGAGAAGGAGTTTAAGTTCACAGCAGTGTAATACAGGTGGGTTTGTTCACATCCATAAACACTACTGCACATGCACTCTGCTCTTTCCCAAACCTGGATCTTCCAGCCATCAGCCACAATTCCAGCTGTGTCCCAACTCTACTATTCCACTTTTCCACTGTTCCAGTTCTATTAAGTTTTATAACCAGCTGTGACAGATTCCCCCGATTCGAAGGAAGTAACAATTTTTCCCTATTTGTACCCTATTTACAGAGAGCAAAGTGCATTGTTTTAAACTGTACCAATCACAATATCGAACTTTAAACTCTATGAAATCTTTATAGCACAACCATTTGAAGTGCAAAAAAGTCTAAACATATACTAGCATTTTGAATATTACATTTTATTACTTGTCACGACAACAGTCAGAAGCCTAAATAGTGAAGTCACTCTTAGCCAAATCTTCTAATTCACATCAATATTTGTGGAACTGCACTTACTTTTACTTTCTTTACCACTTTCTCCCATTAAAACCCCACAGATTCACTAATGTACTCGAGCTCACATCGTAACCACTGTCTTTGCTGAACAGTTTTCTCCCCAAATTCCCACTGCCCACGTTTTCTGTAAAAATAAAGCAGTGAGGGACAATAAAACCCTCACAAAGCCAGTGGATTTGACACTGCTCCTTCCATAACCCAGCGGGGGCACAACAGACCAGCTTTGCCCACTGCACCTCATCTTCTAAAACTGAAAATACATCAAGCACTGACCAATCCAGCAGCCACAGGTGCTTCTTGTCACCAAAATACGGAGCCTCCCTCCCACATTTTGCTGTCTTTTTACAAAGTTATTTAAATATGTTACTATTGTAGTACAACACACTGAAATATCACACTAAACCTATGAAATGTTATCAAACTCGGGTGGTAATAACCCACTTCTGATCATACAGTTAATTACCAAGGAACTAGACGTCCTTTTTTAGGAAATACCACTGGAATTTCAGTTCTCACAGCAAGAGAAAAACAAAAAGCCTGAGAGTAAATTACATTAAATTAAATATTAGAAATATTATTAATTACATATGTTTGCAAGTGCAGCCAAAGGGCCTCGTCTGCTCCTTAAATCAAAAAGAGAATGTTTTCATCTTCAGATTCACAGAATCTGACTGGAACTTTGGATTAGGACACTTGTCATGGGAAAAGGAAAGGAAAAGGGAAGACTATAGAAATATTCATGGGAAAAGGGACGGGAACACAGACAGAAAAGTAAACAGAACAGTAAGGAACTCGTTGTTATTTCCAGCACCACAGTCCCACAACTGCAGCTCTCCATAACAAACTGCTGATGGAGCAGCAGGAGTGGGAAGATGCTGCTGTGGAACAACTGTGGGAAAACAGCAGCTGTGAGGTGAGACAGCAGAGTCAGGCTGACTGTCCTGCTGCTTTTACAACCCAGTGGGCCCCCCCCAAACATTACAGCCCTTTCCTTCAGCAGGGGAAATCTGTGCTGGGAAACTAGTGCCCAAGTTAAAAATTACACAATTGCTCTTAATTAGTGAGGCTCAGAAGTGCATTAAGCCTATTCCATGTCAGGTGTTTCACCACCAATTCTGAGTTTGTGGTACTTTGGATGAGCAGGGGCTGCCCATTCCTAAGAGAATACGTTGGAATTTCTCAAACCTACCTGGTTACTTCAGGAGTTTTCTCATCATGTTTAGGGTAGAGCCCCTGTACCCCGTCCCGAAATGGTTCCAGTGGTTTATGTAATTAAAGAGCTGATACAGCTTGTTTCGTTTGTCAAATCCTGGAGCTTTGGGTATTTTGCTGTGATAGGCAGAGAAAAAAGAGCTGCTGAAGCCCCCAAACATCCCGGCAATGGCCAGTTCGAACTCCGAGTGGCCGTAGAAGGAGGCAGGGTCAAAGATAATGGGCCCGGACTCGTCCTCAGCCACATTCCCGGCCCACAGGTCCCCGTGCAGGAGAGAGGGAACGATTTCCACATCACAGAACATTTCAGGAATCTTTGGCTGAAAAAGGACAAGCAGGCAACAATTAAAGCGTTAGGAAGAAAATATTACATAAAATAAAGTACTGTAGGACGTAAGAGTCTGTGCTGGACAAATGCTGCCCCCATGGAGTGCCTGGGAAGCTGATGGCTACAAGCACAAACCTGGACTGCCAGTAATAAATATTCTGGATTTGTTCTTGACAGAGCTTAGCAAAGCATTTATCACAGTCTAGTATCAACACCTAATATTAATGTATTATTTCTACACGTGGATAGTGTTGGCTGTCAGAGAAATACAAAATAAATGTCGTTTAAATTAAAACATTTCAATGGCAAAAATGGCAGCAGTGAAACATCTACACCACTGAAGTAGAATTAAAGAATAAATTTGTGAGGTGGAGCTTGCAGAGGAACACATCCCTGGTGTTCCCTGAGTGCTGCATGGAGTGTGGCCTGACCCAGCCTGGCTGTGAACCTGGACCATGTAAAAAAAACCTGTCCAGGCAGAAGAATCTCACCCAGTTTGTAACACCAAGCTCTTAGATTGGATTTACCATCTTATCATTATCAGAATTAAATGTCAGTGCTGAATTACAGGTTTATTTTCACTATCTATAAAAAATGAAAGAGCAACAGGAATCCTGTTCAGCTGACAGTGTTGTTGGACCCACTGTCCACTCACCACTGCTCATCCTAAGCAAGGTAACTCTCTTATAAAACACCTTTACAAACCCACTGATGCACATTTTCTGACGTTCTAAACGACAGATTTAAGACATGGTTCGTACTTTCAGCTGCGACCAAAGTTCTCTGGCTTCTCTGTCTCCATAATCCCTCTCAATCATATCCAGCTGAGCCTGGAGTCGGTGACGGATGAAGAAGGACGGCCAGTCGCTCTGCCACTCGTTCACCTGGAAAATCCAGCACAGAGGTTTGTGACACACAATTTTAATACATGTGCAGTCAGAGTTGATCATAGCTAGAGATCCATGTTTGATGATCACACAGTGGCCTGGACCGTGTCAGTGTGACCAACGCACAGTGTCCTGAGGTGCTTTGTTGGTTGTTCTTTTGGGAATGCTGCTTTCTCCCTCACTTAGGTGGGGCTCTCTCTACCATGAGACAGAAGTTGAGGTTCTTGCTATTTTCATTCAGACCCATTTTCTTAAGGTATTTGGTGATTTATGGTGAGATCATGTCTGTTGTTCCATATCATGTTTCAAACCTTTCCGGAAATGCAGAAATATTTGTTAATTTTTACCAGGTAACTCGTTTCTATTTTGGTGAAAAGTTGTATTTAGCAAAGAGTTTGAGATATTGAAAGTTCAATCAGTTAAATCATGGAATGAAATCCTGGCATGTGCAGAGCCAGAAAATGGTGGAATTATCTCTGAGAGCCCTTTCCATGTCTGATGTGACGTGTTACATGACGAGGCTCTCCTAAAGCAGTGGGGTTTGCCATTTGAGATCCATATAGTAGGGGGTGAACAAAAACAAAACCAAGACATGGTGTGGGAAGGGATACTGATTTGATTAAGTATCACCAAGCTGAAGAGCCACCCCATCATTTCAAACTCTCACTCAATCCACCATGTGCTGGCCACATGCTCTGTACCAAGGCACACGTGTTGGACAGTCCTTGTGTTCCCCTGGGCAGGATGGAACAGGGAAAGCAAAGCTGGAGGCCAATGGAACAAGGAGTTTCCAGACCTATCCAAGTGCCTGTCGGTTTTCCCAGCCACGGAATGTCCCATACCTGTGGTATGTAACCACAGCAGGTGGCTGTGTGGAACCCAAACTTATCCACATAGTGGGACTCAGAGTGACCGGCTCCTTTTCCTACAAAATAAAATAAATATTAGAGGCTCTTCCATGGTAAAGTTTGCAAACACAGACCTTAATTTCAGGGAATAGGCGGACAAAATAACTTTAAGCAGGACAGGAGGGACACAGCTCACAAAACTGTTCCATTATTGACTTTAATTATCATTAAAATTATAATGCAACACTGCACCACAGCCAAAGGAATTGCTCCCTTTTTGGTTAAGTACATGACATCAATACTCTACCAATTGTGCTTCCCTCACTCCTCAGCTTCTCTCCAAGTTTCTGGTTATAAAGATGAAGCTCTGCTATCTGCTCTCCCAGCTTTGAGGAATATCTGTAGGATCAAGAAAAGCAAAATTAAACTGGAAGTAGACAAGTAACAGGGGAAAAAGACCCCTCAATTAAATATGAACGAGGATATTTTTGGCAAACATAGAACCTTAATCAACTTCACAAGCACATAACAGGCAAGTGACTTAACAACAGCTCCGAAGACACAGGCTGTAACAGGTAATAAAATGGACATAAGTCAATGTTCTTGCAAGAAAGGTAAATAGAGCACAAGGTGGTATAAACAGGAGCAGAGAGGGCAGGAGAATCAGGGGCTCTTCCTTATCAGTCTCACTATCAGCTGAGGACAGAACATGGTATCAACTATTGGGCTTTATCCTTCCAGATCAGCTGAACAGCAGTGGGAATGGTAAATCTGGAAAGAAGCCAAAGGCAGGGACTGAGTCAAGGTTGCTTAATGCTGAAGACAGAGAACTAAAAACCAGTTAAATATTCCACAGGTCCCTTAACAGCAGCTGCAGGGATGCCAGCTAATTTCTTCTAATGCCCAGAATAGGGAGAAAATAATGGGTTTAAAATCACAGTCAGGAGGACTGAGGACAGACATTGGAAAATCCTTCCTAGGAACAGTGGGATGGACTGGAATGGACTATTTGAGGAGGCTGTGGAATTGCCAATATTGTCCCAATAAAAATATACAGGCTGGACAAACAGCTGCCAGAAGAGGCATGACAATGTTCCCATATGG